ATATATATATATATATATATACCAGGAATCAAACTCAGGACCTTGAACTTTCCAGGCATGTGCTTATGCTACTGAGCTATATCCCCAGCCCCACATGGCCTTTTTCTTAAGTGAAATCTTAGCAATGTAACATTTAGAAGCTAAAACAAGTTCTTTGAATAATGTGTTTAACCACAGTTCTTAGCACATGGTACTAGATACTATTTATTGAGTGAGTAAAGGGAATGCACAGAATAAAATATTTTGTAATTTATTCACGCTCCACTTGATCATTTCCGACCCAGAGCCCCTTGAGTAGCGCAGCACACACACACATGGCGTGCACACGGTCCTACTCACGTACTCTCGTGTATTCACTATGCACCTGTGCACTGCCCTTTTAAGCGACTTTGTTGAAATTATTTATCAATTCTGAATGTACTATTAACATATTTTTAAAGTAAACATTATTTCATGGGATGGGGCGGGATTTCTTTCTGCAGTGAGTCCTCTGGATAAATCATTGACTGTAACTGCAAAGAATATAAGAAACAGATAGAAATTTATATTTTATTAAGTCATACAATTTAGTTGGCTTCTTCCTCCACTACCCTGTATATTCACCTTGGTTTAAGATTGTATGTGCCTATTACCGGAGTATCCAAGGCAAAGTATAGGCAAATATACAGCTGAAATATAAACAATATTCATAGAATGAATGGATAAATAAGTTTCAGAAAACTCAATTCACTAAAATAGTTTTTATTTTATATAAAACTTAGCAATCAATTAAAATTTGAAATGTTTATGTATTATTGAAATGTTGAATAGAGAACTGCAAATGGTCTGAAAGTGTATCCTGCACATGTGTACACACATACACAGTGTGTGGGTCTGAAGCAAAGCATTCCTAGTCGATATTCAAGGCAGAACAACGCTGGAGTGACACTGTCCCATTGCAACATGAGTCCCCACACCTTTGTCTCGCAGGTGGTGTGATTAGACCAATGGAGACTTCCTACCCAGGTAGCAGTGTACCTTTGTACTGTA